ATTATTCGTTAAGTCACTTTTCTTGTAATTCATATTGCCTGATATTTACGGCATTAATCAAAGACTATAATTATTGAATAAATCGTTTAACCGTTAAAAAGTTGAATCTCCCTGAGAGATATTCATTTCTAATTATCTACGAGTGATCTATCCCTATCATCGAACCCAACCGCTCGGGTCTATAACAGTACTAGGACAAATCCACGTGCTAAAACCTAAAGAAGCCCTGTCACAATCAACAAGACAGAAGACACCTTCATTAGTACCTTTACTCTCTCGACAGACTAGAATTTGCGCTGGCTGTGATCTCCAGTTAATCGATGATGAATGGCGACGTTTGCCTTCATATAAATTCCATGACGAAATACGACATCGACGACTTTTGGAGCCACCTCTTAACTATCACGAACGACGGTGTAGAACACTTATTTTGTAGTCTATCCCGAGTCGTTTTAAGTATCCTGTCTCTCCCCCATGCCAATGCTGACTGCGAAGGGGCTTTTTCCAAGATCAATCATGTCAAAATTAAAACGAGAAATCGACTGATTGTTCCAACTATCCGTGGGTTGATGCTCACAAGCCAGGCCGTGACGAGCTCTGGCGGATGTCCTAAATTCAGCCCTTCTGCAGATATGCGATCTCGAATGACCAGCTCAGTACTTTACGGAGAGAAGAAGAAAGCAACAAACTCAGACGATGTTAACGAAACCTCCGACACTGAAATTACATTTTCTTGAACGGTTTGACGAAAATTTTATGTTCAAAACATGACATTTGTATGTGCAGTTGAGGAAGGTGAATATAGCATTATATAAATATATATTATACATAAATACATTCTATGAAATGATAAAAAAAGATGATATTTCAACTGTCATATTATTTTTATGCAATTTTCCGCGGTTTTAGAAGAAATCTATATTACCTACCCCCGATACCATAATTGTTTCTGAGATACCATAATTTTTACTGCGACCTACCAGGATTTCACTCGGCCTGTCTGGCAACACTGGTTCCGAGCATCCATTCTTCGTGGTTCGAGCATCGTGGTTGCCGGTTTGAGGGTTATTTGCGTTATTGCAATTGGTTAGTGAATGTTTACCGCATTTTTCACGCAAATAATTAAATCAAGAACGTAATCTAGTGATATTGATAATCAGATCGAACAAAAAGTATTTGTGAATGTGGGTGAGATGTTTGCAGACCATGTTGCTGTAGCCAAGAACATCCTTAAGAAAAAGGCGGTGAAAAACAGGTCTATGCACGTTTAGGCGTCTCGCGTCCAGACCATATTTCTTGTTTTCGTGCTGCTGAATCATACATCTAACTTCTACATCTACCTTGTGACCTACTGCTTCGGACATTCTTAGGAAGTACTACAACCGAGTTTTTTTTCAAGAAACGGTAAGTTGATTTGTCAATTAGGGTTACTCACCAAAAATCAGAATTGCAATAAAAAAAATCTGCGTGTCACCGGAGATGAAGTAGTCTTTTTCAGCTAGTACCGTGGAAAATAAATCATCGTCTCTCATGCCCGAAATTCGATAATTGATGGAATAATCTTTGATAAAATATTGGCAAAAGTAATTGCGTCGTACCCTACCCTTTCTTCCACAAGTATTTCAATTTTTAGTAAATCAGTATTCTTTTAATGATAAATCGCAAACAGTCGAGAGCTCAACACTTTCCATTTCTTCCAAGCATAAAATTGCCATTATTGAAACACCGTTTTTGCCATTTATCCTTACTATTATGTTTTTATTATTGTTGACGTAGATGGCGAGTTCCCCAGAAAAGGATTATTGGTTCTATCTGGTTCATTTCTATGAGGACGGCGTGGAAGGAGTTTTTCCTTACCTGTTTAGATTAGTGGCTTTCGTTTGGTAATAAAAAAAAAGTATTCTATTGCCAATTCCATTCTGGTTGTAATTCTAACGAAAGGAAGCTACCGATCTCATTATTGAAACGGCGCCAGCCTGCTCCTAAGACCTGGAAAAAATATCTTGTGACGATTAGGGGAGCAGCAAGTAAGTATAATATTCAACATGAATCTAATGTGAATCTCTCTTTAATCCTTCTCATAATTAAATCGATTATTTTTAAGATTCCCATGAAGAAGCTGAACCTCGTCGGAGCGAATTGAAAGACCATCCCTATGGATTCACTTCAGGAGATGAAGCATACAGAGACATTCAGATTGAAGCCTTAAAGAGAAGGCTAATCTCGAAGAAACTCATTCGAAATGATAACGAGATTAATGACTTATTTGAAGAACCCTGTCAGAGTGCTGGATCATTGAGTGAAAGTAGAGATGAGAAAAGTAAGAGGATCCTTGAGTTGAATGGAAAATATATAATTGTTATGTTAATTTTTTTACAATAAGTTAGTGATGATGTATGAATGTTTCACCTAAGAAGATTTTTATGACATTTATTGCTTTATAGGTTCACCAAAAATTGACAAAAGGAAACGCCGAACTCACAGACGAATTATATCCTTTAATTCGTGTCGCTCCAGATCTGTCTCACCTTTTGGTCACAAGAGACGATCACAAGAAAAAAGAAATGGGTAAGAAAAAAGTATAAACAATACATATCAATGAAAGGATTTTATTATAATAAAGTAAAAGGAAATTTTCCCCTGTATCCAATGTTTTTTTCTTGCCAATTTTCAACACAAATTTGTTAGTCCAAGTGAAGGCTTGTGAAATTTTTTTTTCGCAGTGAAGGCATTTTTTCCATAACGTTTCTCTATTCGCAGACTCCTCCAAAGATATTAAACAAATCAGAGATTCCTCATCCCTCACAGTGTCTCCTAAACGTGCAGATGCTCCTCAACTCATCAATACTGAGCCCGAATCTCGTTCTCCAAAACGTCCAGATTATTCTAGCCGAGGAAAAAATGTGCAGCCTTCATTAAAAATGAAAAAAGCCCATAAAGAACATACTCAAAAGGTTCAAAGAAATTTCCGAAGTTCTTCCATGATTACCACGACACCATCAATGCAGCTAATAGGCAATGAAATTAGTTTTCACAATGACGTCAGGAAAGAGTTTAGAGACATAAAGTTGGCAATTGGACAACTAAAGTCACAAATGCTTCGACTTTTGCAAGCTTTCGACAACATCAAGGAGCGTTTGAATCAACAACCACTAATCCGGTGGTCGATCTTGAAGATTATCGCTGCAAGACTTTCGTCGAATTTCAGGTCCAAGACTTTGAAAACAAGTTGACCACAGATCCTGATTTCAGAGCGTGTATCGTAAGTGTTGAATCGATTAAGGAATTAATAACTCAATTTTAAGTTTGTTATCTTATATGTACTTATTCTTTCCTTTTTGAGATTTAGTATTTTTTTTTCATTTTTTTTTTGAGAAATGCATGAATTCTGATATAATGTTGTAGATTCTTCATCATTCAATGAATGATGTTGATGTACTGTTGAAATTCCTTAAGGCCCGGGTGGAGGGATTTTTGCCCGACATCTCCCTAGGAAATTCCCTAGAAAAAACGCGTTTTACGGGGATATAAATGCCCGCCCCTGTAGACCCTCAAAAAATATAATCGTAGGGTCAATCGACAGATAATTATTTTTGCCGGGCCGGTAATTAGGTCTCAGGGGTGGGAAATTGAGGAATGAACGTGTAAATTACGTTCAAAGAAACCCCCTAGATTTCACCAAGATGAATTCTCCAATGATCGTTTGGGGAAAAATATGGCGGCTCAATCACTGCGGAATAAAAACACTCCCGACAATTTACACATCCACTTCTCACTTGCGACACCCAATTACCGGCCCGTGAACACAATTATTACATTTTTCGCAATTTTTCCCGGAAAGATTCGATGCACTGAACGCCCGTAATTTTTGTCCGCAAGTACGAAGCCATCAGCTGTCAATTTTAGGGAAACTAAGTTTAGGCAGATGGCGATAGTGGGGCCTCTCAATTTCGAAGAGGCAAACATGACCGCCGTATACTTGGCGCACTAATTACCGTGAATCATTAATTAACATATCAAATAATTTGGAAATAATTTGGGGAATTTTAGGGAGAGGGTTTCATAATTCGGGGAGATCTCGTTGATTAATTATTCATTTTTTTTAATTAAAGCGTATAGTTAGCGAAAATTTCATATTTTTTATTTTTCTGAATTGAAAATTACATAGAATGATTTGGGGAATCGATTTCTGTAGATTTCATAATTTGGGGAATTGACAAAGAGTTCATAATTAATAAATTAAATAATGAAATCAATTTCCAGCCGGGCGCGTGCGCGCATGCATACCCGTTCCATCGTTCGTCATCGGGCGCACTAATTAATGGTAATCATTAATTAATCTATGAAATAATCAGGAAATATTTTGGGGAAATTTAGGGAGTAGGCTTAATAATTTGGGAAGACCTCGTCAATTGATTGTCAATTTTTTAAACTTAACGTACGTAATTAGCGAAACCTTCTTTTTTTAAGGGAGAATCATTTGGGGAATCGTTCTTCTAATTTGAAAAATTGAAAAAATTTCAATAATTAATCAACCAGTTCATTGTTGCTAGTTTTTGAAAAATCGAAAATCAAATAATGCACTTATTCATATTGATTTCCACTGAATTTTTTCCCATTTTTTTGAACTTCAAACTTCTTTGTCAGTTATTTACTTGCTGTGTTATTATCATAGGAAAATCGTCGTTTTCCAATTATATTTCACCGATGCACAAAAAAACGAAAAATTTATATTTCATTCAGTTTCCCATTGTTTTCTTTCAACCCTTAATGTTTTTTTTTCATTTGACAAATCACATTATTTTGAATTTTTGGCACGAAAAAACAGAAATGGAAGAATCATTTCCACTCTAATTGACTAGTCTTCTATTTAAGACATGACGTGTGAATTTTCTTCGAAAATTAAGTTTTCCCCTAATTTTTATGTCTCTACAATGTTTTCCCAAGGAAAAATGATAAAAAATGAAAATAAATCACAATCCAATTTATCGCTATTTCGACAACTCAGTGATCGAAGTTTGCTTTCTGATTCATATCCGGTTGCTGCTGGATTTATCCTCTATAAAATTAGTTAACAAGTTTTCTATGAATAATATTCAACTTTTTTTAAACGCGTGTCGATAACGAAGGAAGGAACGGGTGTGGATGCGCGCATGCCCGGGGCTGGAAATTGATGTAATTATCTAATTTATTAATTATCAACTCTTTATCAATTTCCCAAATTATTCTACGTAATTCCCAACTTAAAAATAAGAAATGAGAAATGTTCGCTAACTATACGCTTTAATTAAAAAATGAATAATTAATTAACGAGATCTCCCCTCATTCTGAAACTTACTCCCTATATTTCTCCAAGATATTCCTTAATTATTTCATAGCGTAATTAAGGATTTCCATTTATTAGTGTGCACGATGACGAAGGATGGAACGGGTATGCATGCGCGTATGCGCAGGCCTGAAGATTGATTTAATTTTTTTATTTATCAATTATCAACTCTTCATCAATTCCCCAAATTATGAAATCTACTCCCTAAATTTCCCCAAAATATTTGAAAAGTTAATTAATGATTCCCATTAATTAGTGCGCTAAGTATACGGCGGTGCACACATGAGTTTCACGGCAAAAGTGATCAGGAGCGTACGAAGGAGGGGCACTTTTGGGGGGATAATATCCCAATGGGGGGATAGGAATAAATGGTGCTGGGAGGGTGAATTTCTAAATTAGGGGTTAGACAGATGCGTCAAGATAGAGGGTGGGTGGAAGGGTGAAACTGGGACTGAGAAAGGGGTGCGTTTATAAACATGGTGTTTGTAGGCATGGTTAGGGGTGAAGTGAAGGGATGAAAATGGGATGAATGCTTGCAGGAAATTGGCAGGTTTTAAGGTGAAGGGATAAAATGCTTCTGGATAAAAGGGGGGGTTTTTACACCCTCATTAACACATTTTGTTTGATGAGGAACGTTGTTTTGTGGGTGGTCGGGCGTCGGAAAATTGGAAATGGTATGTCGGGATAAAGGTGATCAAGTTGAAAGAAAGCCGAGTTATAAAACACTGCGTTT